GAGGTCCCTGCGGGGGGGGGGAAGGGGGTGGTGAAGGGTGAGAGGGGGACGAGATGTCAAATTCTTTCTCTTTCTCTCGCTCTCTGTCTCGTTCTCTCCATTCGTTCATTCTCTCTCTCTCTCTCTCTCTCTTTCTCTCTCTCTCTCTCTCTCTCTCTCTATCTATCTATCTATCTATCTATCTATCTATCTATCTATCTATCTATATATATATATATATATACACACACACCACCATATCATGGTCTTTGTCTCTGAGCACTTAAAAGAGCCTCTATATCCATTCTAGTTACAGTATGTCTCTTGATGATTATAGATACTTATGGCCGTATGCTTAAAGAAATTATGTAATGCAAATTGACACAATTTTCTTATGCCAGAATCCTCACGATTGTAGGAAGCCTTAACGTGACTTCAGGACTGCCAGTTTCAACATAAATATTCTTATCCTCTCGCCTCAGTGTGGTATATCAGGCCAATTCTTTCGCGGTATTGTCCCTCAGTAGAGGATTGTGCTTCAAAGAGTGGATTCCATGTTATTTAAGGATACGACCGGTTTATGTACTTAAATATGTTTTGTGTTGTGAGTTGTACACAACGCGGGAGAACTCATAACAAAAAGCATGCCCTTATATCTACAGCAGATTATGACAGTATCGTCCCCAGGCACTTAAAAACGCTACTATTTAGTTCATCTACAGCAATGTCTTACAGTTCAGTTCAGTTCAGTTAGATTTGCGGTCTTGCTTCGCCCGGGCCTTTTCTCTAGAGTGGCCCGGCCTGTGTCAACTATTTCAAGTCAACTCAAGTGTTTTCTTTGAACTGCATGCTATCGTGGTGCCTGAATTGCAAGCAAGCGATCCAGCTGCCACGGAGGAAGCATGTGGCAAACCCTTTTTACCAGCTCGGCGGCTGTGGTGGGTAGTCCCTGTCTTAGAAATTGTGTTCACAAGTCTGCAAATAATGTAACAGGGTGGCGTTAGACTCGCTGCAGTGTACGCATAACCTGGCAGTCTCGTCATCAATAGTTTGCCAAGCGCATGGGTAACCCAGTCTTAGTCTGTGTAGTATGACTTCGGACTTTTGTATTTGGAGGAAGGGCCAGTGGCCCATAGCCTTTGGCAGCGGAGTATCACTTGGCAGCGAGCGAATTTATGACATTTTCCCTGTGTGCTCCCCGGAAGAGCAAGGACCACAATGACCAGCGACCCAAGGACTCTCCATGACCACGGGGACCCCATGACCCACATGGACCCAGTGCCCCACGAGCGTTGTGACCCTACCTGAGCAGCTCGGCGACCAGCCCGGGAAGCGTCTGGTGGTGCGGGAGGACAGGCACTTCATCGGGGTCGAAGTGGGCGATGAAGCGGTACTCGTGCAGTCGTGCCTCAGCACGCAGTCGCTGAAGTAGACGTTTCTCGTGGCTGAAGTAATTTTCGGATTCGAGGGTGTCTCCATATCCTGAGAAGGAGGGGGAGAAGGAAGGAAGAGGGAGGGGGGAAGAATGAGGTTGAGAAGGAAAGGAGAAAAGGTAGAGAAAATAAAATCTATCATCAAAAGTTTCATCAGAATGAGTAATAACAATATAACTATTTTTCACATCCCCCCTTCTCCTCCCACCCCCTCACCACCATCACAAAAAACCATCCCAAGTCGAAGTCAACGGATCCGAACGAAGCGAAAAAACCAAAACAAAGGCCACACGAACCATCGCGTCGCCGGGTGATTCGGATACGGCGGCGGATAGGAGTACGGCAAGGTGCTGACCAAGCCGTCCTGCTCGTAGTGGCGTAGAACCTGGCTTAGTGTGGGCGCCACGTCGGTCTCGTACAGGAAGACCTTCGCCACGCCCATGGCCCGCAGCGTCCTCGAGCCATTCGATGAGGCGGTCGGAGAAGTCTTCGTTGTAGTAGAAGAGGGCGGGGCCACAGACGGCGACGCTCCAGGTGGGCGGTCCTCCTTGCTGGGGGGGGGGGGTCTGTATAGTTCATTATCATTGTTAGTTATCATTCTATCAATATTGTTATAATCATAATTATTGTTATATTATCATTGTTTTTATTGATTGTTGACGTTATTATTAATGTTGTTTTTTGTTGTAATTCCTATCATCATTAATATTGTTTTCATTTTTTATATATTTTATTTTTATCATAATTATCTAATTACTATTATGATGATTATTGTAATATATAATGTTTATCCCAATTTATCTTCTATCGTTATCAATATTGTTGTTATTATTGTTACATTTTTGTTATTATTATTATTATTATTATTATTATTATTATTATCATTGATTATTACTAATAATCATTATCATCCAATCTTTTTCATTTATTACCTTTGTTAACATTAGTATTACTATCCATCAATATTATTTCCATAATACTCCTCTTATTTCATTCTTTCATTATCTTTTCCTATAATCTCTTCTATTTATCTCGTTTATTCCCATCCATTATGTATCTTTCATTTATCATCATCCATTAATACCATCATTTCTCATTTCCCTTCATCAGTCCATGATCATTACTTATCTCTTACTTCGTTTAACTATCTTTATCACACTTTGATACTCCCGTTCGTCTCTTTCTTCTCCACTATCATTATCATCAATACTATCGTTATTTCTGTTCATCATCTCTATCTATCTCACTCTATCATTCACATACAGGCAACATCATATTCTTTATCCTCGTACATTAAACATCACTAGAGTAACGTCCCCACCTCCCGCACCCTCATCTCTCACCTCACCCAGTCTCCGTCCTGCTCCTTTGCTCGACGAAGGCAAGACGACGCTCGCTTCTTTCTGAACTTCCACGACTGGCTCAGCGGCGGGAAAAGTTCAAATTCTCAATTCGATTATTCAAAAGTCAGATCTAGAATTCTAAATGCCAACTTCAAAATGTCGGTCAGATTCTTAGATTCATGAATGAAGATTCAAATCAAAACTCAGATTCTTAGATTCAAATTTTCATTCACAACTAAGATTTGGAAGTCCAATTGAAATTCAGATTCAAATTTCAGATTCAGATCTAAATTTTCAATTCAAATCAAAAATATTCTTGATTCGATTCACTTCAAAATTCAGATTCAGATTCAAATTCAAAATGTTCAGATTCAAGATTCAAATTAAAAAATTCAGATTCAAATTCAAAAATTCCAGATTCAAATTTCAAATTCTCAGATTCAATTTCAGAAAACTTCAGATTCAAATTCAGATTCAGATTCTCAGATTCAAATTCAATATCTTCAGATTTTCACAGTATTTAAAAATTCAGATTCAATTTAGATTCAGATTTCAATTCAAAAATTCAGATTCATTTCAAATTCAAAATTCGAGTTCAGTCATTCAAATCTTTTCAAAAATTAGATTCAAATTCAGATCAGAATCAAATTAAAATTCAGATTCATATTCAGATTCAAATTTTATTCAATTCAGATTCAATTTAGATTCAGATTCAATTCAATTCAAATTTCAGATTCAAATTCAAATTCAGATTAGATTCAGATTCAGATTCAAATTCAAAAATTCAGATTCAGATTCAGATTCAAAAATTCAGATTCAAATTCAGATTCAAATTCAAAAAGTCAGATTCACATCCAAATCAAAATATCAGATTCAAATTCAAAATTCAAATTCAAATCA